TGTTTTTGATTAGTTTTGAGTGATTGTTACTCTAGAAATTACACACTTTTGGTGTAATAGTTTAGTTTGTAAAAATGTTTGTAAATTGTTTAGATTAGGTTGGTTCTGAGCTCAAACAGGTCCAAGACCACTCTAGGGACCATTGGTGAACATCACAAATGGAAGGAAGGTGCAAAGATTTCAAGTAAAGATGAAGATTCTGATTTTTGGTAGCATACCCGGTCGAGTATGCTCTATACTCGATCGGGTAAGTTGCTGAAAAGTCAAATCGAATCAACCCGGGAACAAAGCAACATGCAGGAGGATTTTTTAACTCGATCGCGTATCCATACCCGATCGGGTGGCCGACATACCTGATCGGGTATGACCCCAGATTTTCAGTTTCGAGGAAATAACCCTTACCCGATCGGTTGAGCTAAAAACCCGATCGGGTACACGACCCTGCAGGCCTAAAAAGCCTATAAATACACCACATTTCCTCCACAATAAAGCACCAATTCCTTTATACTTCTAAGCTCAGTTTAGATAAGTTCTTTCTTTATATTTTTATCATGTTTAGTCTCCAAATGAGGAGCTAAACTCTTCCATCTTGGTTTTGCTCTTGAAGCTTGATTGATTATTAAAGTTGTGAGTTATTTTCTTACTTTCTCCTCTTGATTATTAATTCTTCCCTTAATCTCATTCTATATCATTGTTGGAGGGTGGCTAAGTGACGATTAGTTAACGTTCCGACATTGATTATTACTAGAAACGTTCAACGAACCGATGGTTAAACGTTGAAGGTTTCATAAGTAAGTAACTTCGGTTTATTAATGCACGGTCGTGGTTAATAAACTTAAGAGGGATTAATTTTGTTGGTTAAACCGAAACCGTTGTGTTGAGGTTATCAATCTCAATTGATTTCATCAAGGAGTTAAAGAGGTTAAATGCTACTATTAAATCGGTATACGGCGTTGTTCTATATTTGGTTAATAGTAAGGGTTATTAATGAACGGTCGTTGTTAATAACTACCCTCGATGAATTGGATATACTCCTCGATTGAGTATTCGAGAGGGGATAAGTTATAGATATAACAATGATCGACTAAAATATATCAACAAGTGGAAAGTAGCAAGACCAAGTCCCTTTTATTCCTGAATTTAATCCCATATAACTCGTTCATCTTCGTGTTTAATTTAATTAAATCACTCAACAAACAAAACCCCCCTTTATTTACTAGTTCATAAAAAGAGAATTATTCCTTTCCCTGTGGATACGAACTCTACTTCACCTATACTACGTGTAAGTGCTAGTAATAAATTTATTTTGAGTGCACTCACGACAAAGTGCACGTCAGGAGGCTTTGAAAGAGAACAGAACTTCTGAACATTACGAAACGATGATGAGGAAATGCAGGAGGCTGGGCTGACGTATGATAAGTAATTACGGTAGATTTACTCAAATGACCTTAGAGCTTGTGCGGGAGAAGACTTAGTTGGATTAATTAGATATAGATAATAATAGTCACTAAAAATTATTAAGATCAAGGCATATTTTTTTGTTCAATATCAATATTTTATTATTCTCGAAACTCAGAATTATATTTATTCTTTGTATTTTAGTTCATTCCAAAATAATCTGCAATTTCTTTTTAGGTTTAAATATGGTTTTAATTCCGGTAAATATGACACACTTTAAATATTGTTGTAGGTCCCTGCATTTTTTTTCACCCTTATAATATGCGCTATTTTGATTTTAGTCCATCTCTAATTTCGAAACAACTTTTTTTAGTTGCATGAATCTACTAGAAACATTTAAATTTATCATTTTATAATTTTTTTGAGACTAGCATGAGGGTTAAAACAATATAAAACCAATTATTCACATTTTTAAAAGATGTATAAAAACGAGGATTATTCTTTCAACCCTCGGGTCCAACACGTAAGCCCAATGATTTCGAGCGGATTGTTTAAGTATAGGTGATTAACTGACCCAACAAGCAAATAAGATGGACTAAGAGAAGGTTAATAGCAAGTAAAGGATTGAATATTATTAAATATTAATGATGAATAACGCTCCGATACAATACACTTGCTAAGGCCGAAGGCCGTTCGTCTTCTACGGCAGTAGAAGAGCTGCGAGTTATAGGCTAGAAATGTTAAGACTAACAAGTTGTCAACCCTTTACAATGAAATAAATGCTACTATTTATACCACCAATGGGCAGTTGGCTATGCTGATGTGGAAGGCTACGAGTGGGTGATGCCCCAACCACCAAATCTCCAGCATTAAATGCGCTTCCCGCCAGAATCTGGGTTTCCCACCTAATCCGTGGGGACGGACGTCCAGTTAGGCCTGGGGCCTGCTCCTGGTGATACTGCGAAGGGTTGTGGGTCGTTCGTGTTCCGGCCCTTGGTAGAATTTGTTGTATAGTTTGTAATGGACCTCACGTGGTTGTGATCCGTGGGTGACGACGTTCGTCGCCTCGCCCTCGGGCTTTTGTGCCGCGATATATTCTCATCCTTGGCTAGACGCTCATTGAGGCACGCCACCTTATGGGCCAAGACGTCCATCCGATATGAGGGTAATGGGCCGATCCTCTAATTGGGCCATTAACCCAACAACCTTTTTTATCGTCAAAACAGAGAGACTTAGAGTTAATCACCTCCAAAAAAGCAATATAACTCGTTGATCCTATAATGAGCATAAATGTGCTAACGACGGTTAAAGTGAACCTCCCATCACCCAATCCAAATGCAAGAGTCTTACAACAATCGAAGTAACCAATAGAAAAATAAACAGTGTGATCATGAAAACTAAAAGGCAAGCAAGCAGTAAAATTAAAATATTGCTTCCAAACCCTAAACTTTCTTGCACTCCATGGCGGCGGTTAAGGAGGGGGACGATCCAACAGTTCTGAAGCATCTGTCGTTCCTTGCCTCGACCGAGTCACCTCAACTAGGATATCTTCGAGCTCAGCTTCACCTAGATCCAACACCTCGGCATCCTCTTCAATAATCATCTTGTTGTACTGGTCAACCATCCACTCCATACAGCCCCTGATGCCTCCTAACCCACCAACGAAACACCCCACGCTAGAATCCTACTTGCTTTCTTCTACGACGGAAAACCTTGCTGCCGAAATCGAATTTGCTCGGACTTCCTCGCAATCAATTCGTACGATGTGGCTACCTTGCTGACTTCCGCTATCCTCACCTCCAGCCGAAGCCCCTAACTACGAACAGAATTGCTAAAACCGGCACCGCTCCTCGGCAAAGGTTGATAGCGGACAAATAACGCTCTAGCGGTAAAACCCTAGAGAGAAGCTAAAACTCGCTTAAAAAACTCTAGCACTTAATAGATGTATTAAAAACCTTCTAAAATGAAATTAAATATTTTTTTCAATGACATGACAAAGAATTAAAGGATACCTAAATATGTCACACTTTGTTTTAGGTCTCAACATTTTTTTTCATCCTTATAATATGCGTTATTTTGGTTTTAGTCCATCTCGGGATTATTTCGTTGTCAAACAGATGTTATTATCATTAGTCATGAGTAAAGGGTCAGATTGGTTTTCGAAGTTGCATAAAAATGGTCAAATAAGTCCTTATATAGGAGGCTCTGTCCGGCCGTCGCCATTTGGGGCGGATCCTGGTGGAATTTTTTGATGACTTTTTTGAGCATCTTATTCATTAAGTCTAGTTTAATCATACCAAATTTCAGTTAAAACTTCAATCGGAAAGGCATTCAAATGAATTCTTGAAGATAACTGTGTAATTAAAAGCGCAGTTATCTTCAAGAATTCATTTGAATGCCTTTCCGATTGAAGTTTTAGCTGAAATTTGATATGACTAAACTAGACTTGATGAATAACATGCTCACAAAATTTCATCAAAAAAATCCACCGTGAACCACCCCAAATGGCAACGACTGGACAGTAAGGACTTATTTGACCCTTTTTATGCAATTTCGAGGACCAATCTGACCCTTTACTCTATTAGTCATGGGCTAAAAAAATCAACATAAATTTCAAGGGCGGAAAACCAAAAAAGGGAAAAGGGCAAATAAGCCCACATACTAACAAAAAAAGGTCAAATATGCCCTTATTTAGGCGGTTTTGTCCGGCCGTCACCATTTGGGGCGGTTCCCGGTGGATTTTGTGATGGAATTTTTTGAGCATCTTATTCTTTAAGTCTAGTTTACTCATATCAAATTTAAGCTAAAACTTATTGGGAAGGCATTCAAATGAATTCTTGAAGATAACTGCGAAATTAAAAGCACAGTTATCTTCAAGAATTCATTTGAATGCCTTACCGATTGAAGTTTTAGCTGAAATTTGGTATGAGTAAACTAGACTGAATGAATAAGATGCTAAAAAAATTTCATAAAAAAATTCCACCGAGAATCACCCCAAATTGCGACGGCCGGACATAGCCCTCCTAAAAAGGGTTTATTTGACCTTTTTTTTGTTAGTACGTGGGCTTATTTGCCTCTTTTCTCATAAAAAAATTATAGAGATCTAAAACAAAGTATGCTATTTTGTAGTGGGCTAAAAACGTATTTCCTCCGTCCCGGAAAGGTTCGCCAATTTTGACTTTCACGTAGATTAATAAAGTAAAAACTGTGTGATTGAAATTTGTGCAGAGAAGAGAGAATTAATTTTAACCACATATTCCTTACTTTAAATGGAAATGACAAATCTTTTTGGGACATGCAAAAAAGGAAATTTGGCAAACCTTTTCGGGACGGATGAAGTATTCAAACTTTCTTTTTATGACAACGCATTCTTAATTAATACCCCCTCCGCCCCCCTAATATTGTCCCGTTTTACCTTTTCGGAAAATCCCACTAAAATTGTCTCATACCATATTTGGTAAAATTTGTGTGGCTCTAAATTATTCTTACTTTATTTTTATTTTTATTTTATCAATTAATATCAACCACATAAACTCAATTTTCTTAATAATCGTGCCGCCCTTTTCGCGCCATATAAGGGACGAAGGTAGTAAGTACTAAGTAGTATCATACTATCATTTCTCTCTGTACAACTCTTCGCTTGCTCAATGGACAAATCTGTCTGGAAGGTTGATACTCGTATGAGATTGAGGGAGTAAAATATTTGGAATTATATTAAATTTGAAATTAATTTCCAAAATTCTAATTTTTAAATGATGAGAGTAATTTAAATATTGTTTGGAGTTACGTAGTGCTCCCTAATTATAATCCTAAACCCTAGGCAATGACCCAATGGAGAATTGCAAATTTCCGGAGTATATATTCGATATACTCAGGCGGTCAATTCCTACTAGGGTTTATTAGATCGTTTAGTTCTATCAAAGCAAAGATTTCAACCAGAATTCTATTAAGAATCTTCTTCATCTCCAGGACAGGACATGGAGAATTGCAAATTTCCAAGGGAGCTGCTGATTGAGATATTGGTAAGGTTGCCCGTAAAATCTCTTATGCGATTTAAGTGTGTCTGCAAATATTTGCATGATTTGATAAAAAAGGATCATCATTTGATGCACAAATTCTATGAAATTAACCGAGAGAAATACGATTGTGCTGTTATAGAAGTCGGAGGTTCAGCTAGGGAATCCCCTAACAAACTTTTCGGTCTGCTCAATAAAGATTCGGAGTGTGATGAGATTAGATGCACATGCTTAGACATACCTGGTTCAGTAACAAGATATATGAGTTGCTGTGACGGGATGCTATGTTTGATCCTGGGCAAGGATGATTTTGATATCCGTTCTTTAAATTGTTATTCTGGAGATATGAATTTCAATGTTTTGATATGGAACCCATTCATCAGGGAGATAAATGTCTTACCGCCTGTTGTCGTTCCTGTTGTTGTTCCTGACAACCCTCCCGCCATTGAAGATATCTACTATTTGTTGTTTGAAGCATTTGGATTTGGGATTTCGAACAGCAAGAAATGGAAGGTCGTCATGATGTGGTATTTTGACTATGATCCCAAGGATATAGACTTCACTTATGAAATTGTAATGGTTTGCAGTCAAGATACAGGGGATGGTTCATGGAGGTGGAGACGGATCGATGCTCTTTCAAATGTGCCTGTGAAATCTCGTGAAGATTTTTATTTTAAGGGAAAATACTATTGGCGGGTAGACTTAGAATGGGGTTGGAATTTATCCTTCTCGGAAGAGCATTTGCTGTGGTTCGACTTGGACGTTGAGGTTTTTGGAATGATCCAGTTGCCAACCGTACCTGGTCGTTTGTCATGTACCGTCATGAACGAGACTATTGCTCTCATTAGTCACTGCTATCAAAGGAAGCCGTTTGATGACATTAACATTTGGCTAATGAGTGAAACCAATGGTCACATTGATTGGCATAAACAGTGGAGCATCGATTGTGGTGTAAGCATACACAAGCACGAGTCATTGTATCCGCCAACAGAACATCAAACTTGGGAAGAAGATTGGATTCCCATTGGAATTTGGAACCAGGGTGGCCGTTTATGTCTGTTGGCATTTCCACTTATTAGGGACCCTGACTATAGTGGTTTCAGCAAACATCGTCGTTTTTCGGGTGAAGACAACTATAAACCATACCTTGTTTCAGTCGATTTGGAAACGCAAGAAATGAAGCTCATTTATTTAACTCAAGAAAGCAAATGTGTTAAAATTGTTGCAAATTCATCAGGAAGGTATGTTCAAGTTTTCTCCGAGAGCACTGCTGAAGCAACCCAATTATGGACGCGTTCCTTGTCATCATGTGAAGCATGTGCTCGAATATATAATCCAAGTCTAAAGCTGCTATAGATAATGACATTGGTGAGTATTATTTAGTTCCAGTAATGTTTCTTACTTTCTTTTCGCTTTCCCTTGAACCGGTTGAGAGCTACGAAGTATTATTTTGCTTTGTTATGATAAATAAAGGTTTCATTTTAGTGCAATCTTGAATTTAGTGTTTAGTGTAATGCATTTTGGCATGTGGAGCCACTGTTTTTACTAGAATTATTGTCATTCAATACCGCATCTCTTATTCCTTCATTCCTTTGCCATCAAAGTTTTTGCTTATATATTTATTAAATTTAATTTTAAAAGTAATACTCCGTAGAAATTATTATGGGTACAATAAGATCTTAAAAGGCAGAACTGTTGAAATCTGAAACTGCTATAAATGGCGACTATCTATAATTTTCTTACATGCGATTTTACTATTTTAGTGCACTGTGCACTCTTGAAGTATTGTGTTTGTATTGACAGTATTGTGACACATGTGAAACCACTTGTTTAGTTTTATTTATTTAATAGTTCGTATAATACTCCCTCCATCCTGCTAAGATTGTCCGATTTTACCTTGTCTTATTCCAAATTTGGTAAAAGTTGTCTCATTTTACCTTTTCCGACCGTCCATATCATTCTTACTTTATTCTTACTTTATCAATTCAATATCAACCACATTAATCACTTTTTATTAGTTTGTGTATCACTCCTTGTCCCATTGTTAGTGGAACGCATGGGGTAGTATTTAAAATAGAAAAGAAGAATAATACTAGTAGGGTGAACCACAAATCTTTTATTACTTACATTGTCATTCTTTGGAACCTCTAGAAGCTGAGAAACAACACCCTTTATGATGATATTTCCCCTAATTATTTTAAGGCCATTAACAATATCAGACAGGAAATTAAATTATTTCCCTCAATGATATTAAGAGTCCTGCTAAGACCCTTAGAAGCAGACCGAAAGTGGTATCGTGGAACCCTCCTCGGGCCAACCATAGAACCCTTAACATCGCTCATACCCAAAAAGGCCTTTCCCACAACTTCGGGTTTTTGGTGCGCAACCATAAGGGCCACATGACCTCCCATCAGACCCGTAGCATTTTGTCCAACTCCAAAATGAAAGCTTCTATGAGGCCTACCTACTATGACTATCTCATTTTATGTAGGGATAGGGGAATCACCTACAATGACAATGACATTCAAATCAATAACCCACAAGTTTTCGAAGCCATAAATCTGAAGTGCGTCAATCATTGGGATCAAATCTTCACCATCTCTTGCATTCATAGGATTTTGCATCAAAACCACATCATCGTTACTCTTGTCCACGAAAATGTTAACTGCGCAGCCAAATATATTAGTTTGGGGGTTGATGCTATCGCTTTTCCATATGTTATCTAGTTGTTCTTGGGTGGGTTTTACCTAATCCCCCTACCTTGTATTTCCCCCCTTTCCCTCAACCATAAATAAAAGGTAAGGTGTTCCCCGCCCTTACCCCATCTTAGGATGGATTGCCATTGGGTTAAAAAAAAAGAATAATACTAGTAGTATTTAAACTTATAAAAGAGGGACTATAAAAAAACTTACGTAGTACGGAGTATAAAGGAGAGTTTTCCATAAGCATTATTGAAATAAAATGTAGGAATAAAATGCGAGGATAGACTAAAACTATTAATTTATTACGTAGTATGAGTGTATCGTAATAGTCACTGTAGTAAGAGCACACAATTGAGCATTATAAATTATAATAGTCATTAATGTTAGAACCATGATCTAACACCATTTACTAAAAAAAGCATCAAATAAATACATATACATTGAAAACAATCATATCAACAAATTTACTTGATGGTAACCTTTTTAGGCTCATTTTAAATATTTGTCTTTTATCTTTTTTTCTTCCTTTGTCTTCATCACCAGTATGTTCGTCCCCCCTCCCACCTCTTCAACGTAACCTCTTCTTTTTCTTTTCTTTTGTTCCTTTCTTTTTCTCCCATTTCGTCCATCGCTTTTCTACTACATCCATGTTTATCAGAGCAATAACAATCGTTGTTGATCGGAATTTTTATGTACACTTGACATCCAAAAAATAACAATCAAACCTTCTCAGTCCAAAATTAAACTAGATCCATATTACTCTACTCCATGTACGGACATGCTCACATGCAGAGCAATTAGCAAAAGAGATAAAGAAAGTTGTTGAAGGCTTGAAGCCAAGCTCTAACAACTCAATTGACGGGCATGACCGCATGACATGTACAACTTGTTCACCACAGTTTGATGTTTGAGGTCACTAGTGGAAAATCATCAATCAGGGGCATTTTTTTTTTCACGCGCGGTGCTTCGAAGCGCCTCCAGAATTTCCGCCGCAGATTGCTATCAGAGGCGCTTTTTAATTGAGAAGTGTCTCTAATAATTTCGTTTTTAATTTTTTTTCCAGGAATTCTTGCGGCACTTATTTAACTAGAAGCGCCTCCGAATCGTAGAAATTATCGACGCATGCGGCGCTTAATTAACGGGAAGCGCCTCTAATGTTTTTTTTATTAATTTTGATTTGCGGCGCTTTGAGCTCACAAGCGCCTCTAATATAATTTTTTTTAATGAAAATTTATTTGTTTTAGTCAATTTTATTCCCTGATTTAAAAGGTTTGAAACGCCCACATCATGTCCAAACATCAAATATTTATTCAAATTATAACAAAAAACACGGATAAAAAAGTTTGTTCAGAATAGTAATTCAAATCCATCCAAGTCCTACATTATTCCAGCTTTTCGATAACAATACAACATCAATAAAATATCTTGTCCGATCCATATACTTGTGATATCATTGATTTATGCCAATATACATGGTTGACTTCTTGAATTCAAGACCTGAAACATTTAATGACAAGTATATATAGATTCTGATCAGTATAGACACTTAAATACTTAATAATGCATAAACATTAATATACTCTAACCAAATTAGTGATTACACAACTTATTCATACACTAGTGGCATGATGATTTTCAAATTTGCTGCTTAACGTGTTATATAGAAAATATTCTTTTAAGAATTCAGAAATTAAGCAAACAAATAATCATAAGTGATAAAAACGTACCTTGAATCTTTGTTGCACTTCTCTAAAACTGAGAATCAGAGGAATGTATTCAAATAAATAATACTCCGTACTACTACATAATAAATACTCGTACATGATAGACATTGAGAGTTTTTTCTCAAAATAATGCTAAACAAAAAAATATTTCCGAAACTAGGGTCGGTTTAATAATATTTCCCGAAATGCTGCTAGGCTGACTAGGGTTAAGAAAACCGCCACTTCAAGTGGCGGCTTATGTGCAAGGGGGCAAATGACGTAGCGGACTAACAAACGCATAGCAAATAGTATAATAAACTCATGGGACCCATCTTAAAAAGAATCATCTGTATATTTTAAATTGATATAACTTTTTCTTTTGTACTCCGATTATTATAAAAAATATATTAAAATTAATAACTTTTTATTATCTTTCATATGACACCAATATTGAATATGTAAAAAATAAATAACAATTTAGCGATTTTATAAAAACTTATGTTTTTTAAAGTGGTGTAACTTTTTTATTTTGACTTTGATTATTACAAAAAATATATCACAATTCATAACTTTTTATTATATTTCATATGACACTAATATTGCATATATAAAAATGAAAAAAATAATTTGACACTTTAAAAAACGTTTGTCTTTTAAAATGTTCGTAACTTTTTTATAAAATTCTTGAAGATAACCGTGCAGTTACAAGCGCATTTATCTTCAAGAATTCATTTGAATGCCTTCTTGATTGAATTGTTAGTTGAATTTGGTATGAGTACATTACACAAATAAAAAAGTTACGAACATTTTAAAAGACAAACGTTTTTTAAAGTGTCAAATTATTTTTTCATTTTTATATATGAAATATTAGTGTCATATGAAATATAATAAAAAGTTATGAATTGTGATATATTTTTTGTAATAATCAGAGTCAAAATAAAAAAGTTACACCACTTTAAAAAACATAAGTTTTTATAAAATCGCTAAATTGTTATTTATTTTATACATATTCAATATTGGTGTCATATGAAATATAATAAAAAGTTATTAATTTTGATATATTTTTTATAATAATCGGAGTACAAACGAAAAAGTTATATCAATTTAAAATATACAGATGATTCTTTTTTAGTTGGGTCCCATGAGTTTATTATACTCTTTGCTATGGGGTTGTTAGTCTGCTGCGTCATTTGCCCCCTTGCACATAAGCCACCACTTGAAGTGGCGGTTTTCTTAACCCTAGTCAGCCCAACAGCATTTTGGGAAATATTATTAAACCGACCCTAGTTTCGGAAATATTTTTTTGTTTAGCATTATTTTTAGAAAAAACTCAGACATTGATGACTATTACTAATTGACTAGCAAATTGCACCAGAAGAAGAATAAGAGGAAAAGTCAATCAAGAAAAGAAAGAGCACTGTTGCATACACAGAAGTTCATGGTTGCATACCTGATCTAAATTGGGGAGATTTACCTTAAAAAGGATCAAAACATCACTTTTTTCTCAAAATAGGAGTACCTAGTTTAAACATCCTTAAATAGGACTTTTTATTAGTGATTGGACCGAATACCCCTCACAACCTTTACCACTGCTGCCCAGGGACTGCCAGACCGCCGCCTGCCGCCTGCCGCCGCTGCCGGAGCTCCGGCGACCACCGCCGGAAAAATTCCAGATTTTTTTTCTGGAGGTTTGCCAACATTCTGCCGCCACATGCCGCCACCTGCCGCCGGCCGCCGCCGCCGGAAACTGCCTCTTCCGCTGCTGCCACCTCCGGATTGGCCCGCTACCAACGGACTGCCTTGGTTGTGCAAGAGAACTAGGGGGGCAATTAATTGGGTTAATTAATTGCCGGAGTTGCCGCCGCCGCCGCCGGAATCCGCCGCCGGCCATTTCCGGAGTGCTGCCGCCACCACGGACTGCCCCGCCACCGACGGACTGCCTTGGTTGTGCAAGGAAACTAGGGGGGCAATTATTTAGATCAATTAATTAATTAAATAGAATTAGGGGTAAAAAAAGGTAAGATTAGTCCTATTTAGAGAAAAACATGCGTGTGGTTCTATTTTGAGACAAAGGTTGAGTTTTAGTCTTGGACAATTTTCTCATCTAAGTTGTGCATAGGAAGGTCAACCCCGGTCCTTTGAAGTCATATATATGATGAGCTCCACCGGTGCTTATCCATTTTCTGGAACCGGCAACAATCAATAAATGATAAAAAATGTTTCATCTAGATATATTGAACAAAAAACTTAGTAATAAGTACGGAGTAATACAGAATCACATCAAATATCGTTAACTCACAAGAAAACCATTTTGAGCTTTCCTGCTCCTTTAATGATGGTATCAGTGTCGTGGTATCAGTTCCAACCTGCAGAGATTAACAAAAGTGCATTTGCAAGGAAAACGTACGTTCAGTTTACATTGCATACAAACATAAACAAAATCAATAATACACGGAGTAAAACTGAATTATATAAAAATTAATGTATAATAAATATCTCATATAACGACGGCAGGTCATATATTTAATTTAACGAATATACTGATATAGTTTTAAAAACAAGATGGTTAAATATTAAATTAAAAAATCAAGGTTTCCGTAAATAATTAACAAGTTTGAGTTGTTGGACAAAGAACTACTAATAATATTATATTTACTATAACAACAGTAATAAAAAAAATATACACATACCAAGAATCCGTGGAATATTAAAAAAGCTTGACCGAGGACATTTAGCAACTTCAACATCACAAAGGACTGAGATTTCGTGAGCTTAATGAGCTTTATTCACCTGGCCACCTCTCCCCTTTGTGATAGAACACCGCCACACTATGTCATTTAATTGGCTTACCGCGTCCTTTTTGTGCAGATGCCACCCTATACATTCTATAAATTCAAACATAAGTTCTTGAATTCCAATCCTGAAAGCATTCATAACAACATAAATAAAATGGATAATATTAAACTATAAAAAATTAGCAACTAAAGCAAATATTATATACTTTTCAAATAATAATAACAATAATTATAATAATGATAGCATTATATGCACTTTAACAAAATTCAACAATATAATTCAATTATACTAGACTATTCACATTTACAAAGTTCAATTAAACTAAACTATATCACACAATGTTTTGCCGCCTAAGGAATTGGGAGATTTTTATACAAATAAGACTTAATCATAATAACTTTCTAAAACTAGGACTAGAAGTAAGCGTAGTACTAAACAATGCCTATTTTGACCACAATACCCTTGACCGCCCTTTCTTCTTCCTGCACCGCCTTTCTTTTCCCAGCCCCCTTATCTATCGCGTTTCTTCTCCCTCCTGCCATCCCCCTCTCTGCTTCCGTATCTTCTTCTGCGTTTCTTCTCCCTCCTGCCATCCCCTTCTCTGCTTTGGTATCTTCTTCTCCCATGTAGTATGGGCTTCGATTTTTCTCCCCAAATTAACCACCGGCTGAAGACGATTCACAAGTAAGTGTTCATGTTCTTCTTTTTCCTCTTCTTCCTCTACTTCTTTTTCATCTTCTTTCTACTCCGAATATCCTCATCCTCCTTGTCCTAGTACTCTGTTTTCTCCATCTCTGAGCTCTTTTGAACTCTTTTGTTGATTTTATTTGTTCAATTTTGAGATTGAAAATAAAAATTGTTGTTTAGATCCGGATTTCTTAGATTCAAAAAATGAGAGACTTCAATGATGGGTTATCTCAAGGTTTTAGATCTAATTTTTTTATTCATTTCAGTTTATTTGTTTTGAAAAATGATTTTTTTAAAGTTTTTGCAATCTGAAAATATCAATTTAAATTCTGGCCATTGATTTTGCTAATTTCGAACTTCTATTATATATTTTCACAAGGCCATCAGGTACTCTGTAAAACTTTTGAAGAAACCAGATCCAAAATCAAACTTGCAAACACTAGACAATACATAGACTGTAAGTAGTCAGTAAACAGACAATAAGTTCTAACAATAGCTCAATAGCAGACAATACATAGACAGTAAGTAGTCATTAAACAGACAATAAATTCTGATAATAGCTTAATAGCAGAGCAGGTAACATAGAACTCAAAGGACATTGAACTTGACCTTAAAATTGGGAGGAATGGGCTTATTAGAATCATCTAGGGAGGATATCAAACTCAATTTCACGGAAATAGGGGGAATGGGGGGGGGAGAAGCTGGAATCCAAATAGGAACGGTAGGAGTAGTTTCTCCATGGCCGTGATTTGCTGCAAAATTGATTTTTTGGCCTTTGTGTGTGTTTAGGTTACCGGCGATGACGACCTCCCTGAGGAACGATTCGGAAGAAAAAATGAAACATGGAGGATGACGATGATTAGAGGCGAAGTTTTTTTTTTGTTTTGCTTCTTAAAACTGAAGGGCAAATTTGGAAAGTTAGAAATAGGTTTTCTAATCTAGAACTAAATAGGTAATACGAATTGGAAAAACATTAGGTAGTCTTGTTTTTGTAAAAGAGGTAGGATTTGATCCTACCGGCAGCAAATTTCTCTAAGGAATTACGGAGCTAGGTCGAATTAAAATTTCAAATTAGATTCCAAGCGTTTCAAATCATAAAGCGCCGCACGTCCACATATTTTTTTTATATAGAGGCACTTCTTTAACGACAAGCGCCGCACGCGGCACACAATTTTCTAAATTTTTTTAGGGAACCTCTCCGGTGCCTTCTTATTGTGGGATGTTTTGGTGCATCCTACATGTGGCACAATTCCATTGGAAACAGGTTCCACCTCAGCCATTTCATTAAACAAAAACTAAAATTTGCAAAGTGGTCCCTAACAATCCTATCTTTCATATTCGTCATTTACAATCTGTGGCTCCATTCACTGTTGCGAAGAAGTATCGAAGACTCAGAGCTTTTTCCCCAAATTAAAAATCCGATCAAGAAACCACCGGTCAACTTAAGAATTGTTCGACGCAATCATAGCTAGGATGAAGGACCTGTTATGATAACATCATTTCATTCATTAATAAAACTGTCAGTAAAATTCATTTCAATGTTTTGCGATTCCATTCACGGGACGAATTAGGGATATACGTTTCTATGATTTCAGCAGAGATATTTTTCCGGAAGATTTCAGACTTCTTCAGACTGAAAAATGGCTCTAATGGCAACGGTAAGTAATCCCTTCTCCCACCCTAGTTCAACGATGCTATTGCTATAATTGACCATGTGTGCTCCTGTGATCAATCAGAACATTTCTATAATGTCATCCATTTTAGATAGCATCCGAACTGTGTGAAAATTAGGTTTTGTACCGCTCAATCAACATTTTCCAGCTATGGAAAAGTTGCTTTCCTGGGTCCTGCGGTGCATGCATGAAACAGAGAATGTAAATTTTTATTCTTGTATCTTAGCATTGTACTAATCCAACACATAAATTTTGCTACAACAGCACTACAACAGCTACCCAAACCCCATCAGCCCCACAAGTATCCAAAAATGCAAAGTGAAGCCTTGGATGTGTCTCTGGCTAGTTGGAGGTTTTGCATTATGTTTCACGATCCTTAATTGCCATTTTTTATTTTGTTAAAAAATGTTGTGATTTTTGAACTTGTGAAGTTTATAAAATCCTTGATACTATGCTGGTGCACACACTCAGAGAGGGACCAAGTTGGTGCACACTCACATGCAGCATATGATAACGATGAAGTTGATTTGGATAACATCCTATCATTACATAATGAAATGGAGGGAGATGATGATGACATGGATAATACCGAGCATGCCTTTAAGTTATGTGATGTGTTATTCCAACCAAATGATGAAGATGAAATAGTGGGTGGACAGTCTAACAACATGAAGAACACTTTTGTATTTTGCTACTGAGCATGTCCTTCAGTTATGTATGAATGACCTCTGGATTTATGTATGTATTTTTCTTTTTCTAATACTTTGTGTAAGGTTTTATGGAAAGAGTGGGCAGCATTTTTGCTAGAAACGAATTTTTGGCTGCAGTGAATGTATTCTGACCAAGTTTAGTATATATAAGATGTCATTTTATCATATGAATGTCATGTGTGAGTGAGTGTATATGTTAATATGGTGGCACTGAATGTTTATTTACCAAGTTATATATATACATGTCATTTTTGAAGTTCATATGTGAGTGAGTGATGTGTATTTGTTCACATGGTTGCACCAAATGTATTTTGATTGAGTTATATATATATATATATATATATTAGAGAGTTTTGAGAACTCTCTAAACTCTTCATATATAGATGGCTAAAGGGGTCAAATAGGCCCTCGAATTAACTTAAAAAAGGCAAATCACCCTGATAGAGTATATAGACTCGGACCCCGGGTATCACGACTATTGGGCCCGGACAGCGGCCCACACACATGCTTACCGGATCACATTTGTATTATTGAACAGTTTTTATGTCATTTGTATGTATTAGATTAGTCTTTTGTGTAGTTGGGCCTATCGGGTCCATATTAACGGCCTAGCCCATCATTCTCTATTTATACTCCTCTTGGAGCCTCTTGTCACCCTAAGTCATAATTCCATAATTCAATACTATTCATCTTCTTCCTCACCTCTCTTGCTCAAATCTCTCCTAATTATGTATGTTTGGATCCCTATTAATTCATCACACCCCTTATATAAGAGACTCTGTTCGGCCATCACCATTGGGGAGGTGACATTCATGTAATTTCCATGTGTAAATTTGTGTTTTTAATTAGTTTAGAGTGAGTGTTACTTCGGAAATTACACACTTTTGGTGTAATAGTTTAGTTTGTAAAATATTTGTAATATGTTTAGATTAGGTTTATTCTGAGCTCAAACAGGTCCAAGAACACTTTGGGGACCATTGGTGAACACCACAAGTGGAAGGAAAGTGCAAAAATGCAAGACAAAAAGTGGAGATTTCGTTTTTGGTCTGTACCCGGTCGGGTATGACCTATACCCGATCGGGTACCCTTCTAAAAAATCAAATCAGATCAACCCGGGAACCGAGCAACATGCGGGAAAGATTTTGGCCATGTTCGATTGTCATACCCGATCGGGTGACCGACAGACCCGATCGGGTATGACCCTATTTTTCAGTTTCTGGGCAATTTCCTAAGATACCCGATCGGGTATCCTATATACCCGATCGGGTATCCTATATACCCGATCGGGTACACAGCCCTGCAGCTCCCAAAAGCCTATAAATACACCCCATTTCCTTCCCATAAAAGCACCAATTCACATATACTTCTTAGCTCAGTTTAGACAAGTTCTTTATTTATATTTTTCATCATGTTTAGTCTCCAAATGAGGAGCTAAACTGTTCCATCTTGGTTTTGCTACTTTGAAGCTTAATGAATTTGTAAGTTGTGAGTTATTATCTTTAATCTTCTTCCTTGAATATTAATTCTTTCTTTAAATACTATTTCTATATCAATGTTGGGGAGTGTTACTAAGATGACAATTAGTTAACATCTTGACATTAGTTATAGTAATAGTTATTTCTTCCTCTACGTTAATATCGGGGAGTGTTACTAAGATGACAATTAGTTAACATCTTGATATTAACTATAGTAGGATTCATCTTCTTTAATATTCTTCCTTGAGTATTAATTAATTCCTATTCATATTTCATATTAATATTTTGAACATTACTTAAAGGATCAACTAGTTTTGTTTCATATATTAATTATTACTAGAATCGGTCGATTAATACGCTTGTTATTAATTCGGTCCTTTCGCGGTAGTAAACTTGGGTTATTAATGCATGCGTTTCATGGTTAATAAACCAAGGGGAATTAATTATATTGATTAAACCAATAAACTGCTTGTGTTGAGGTTATCAATCTCAATCGTTTTCATCTTGATTTTATTGCTACTATCGAGTGAATATACGGCGCGTGTTCTATATTAACTCGGTAGTAAGTTTTATTAATGAACGCGTCTCGTTATTAATAACTACCCTCGATGAATTGGATATACTCCTCGATTGAGTATTCGAGAGGAAGATAGTTAAAGATATAACCGGGATCGACGAACATTTCATTAAGTGGATAAAAGCAAAGCAAAGTCTTCTTCTCATTAATTAAACCACATAACTCGTTCATCTTCGTATTTAAATATAATTTAAAGTTCATCAACCAAATATAAACCCCCCTTATTGTTACTTATCTATTTCTGTAAGAAGAAAAGTATTCCTTTCCCTGTGGATACGAACCTTACTACACTATACTACGTATTTGTGTTGTATTGTATTATTACTTTGAGTGCACCTCACGACAAAGTGCACGTCAAATTTGGCGCCGTTGCCGGGGAAAGGCAATTATTTTTCTTTTTATTTTGTTTTAAAAAAAAAATCAAAAAAAATATAATTAAATAAATATATAAAGAGTTCTTATTCTTCTATTTCTGAGCTTTGTGAAGTATATGGTAAAATATCGTTCACTGAACGAAATCACCTACCAATCAAACCCCGAAATAGAGCAAACTCTCGAGCGGTTGAAAAATAAATTCTCAAATACCGACTCGGGAGATTCATCAAGTGCTAGCTCTTATTCTAGCGAGCCTGAAGAACCAACAACTATGGCTCTCGAAACAAGAACGTTAAGGGAGCTCACAGCTCCGAACTTGAATCAACAGCCGTTATGTATTACCTTCCCTACACTCAACGAGGGTAATACATTTGAGCTAAAATCAGGGCTCATTCATCTTTTGCCATCCTTCCATGGCTTAAGGGGGGAAGATCCGAACAAACATCTGTCAGAGTTCCACATTGTATGCACGAGCATGTGCCCCAACGGAGTCACGGAGGAGCAAATCAAGCTCAGAGCTTTTCCATTCTCCTTGAAGGACACCGCAAAAGATTGGCTTTTCTATCTTCCTTCGGGAAGTATAGACACATGGGCGGCCATGAAAAAATGCTTCTTGGAAAGGTATTATCCCGCTTCCATTTCATCATCTCTAAAGAAGCAAATCAGCAACATCGAACAAGGTGATGATGAATCACTTTACGAATATTGGGAGCGCTTCAAAAAGCTTTGTGCCAGTTGCCCATACCATGGATACACGGAACAAGACCTCATCCTCTACTTCTATGATGGTCTTGCGGAACACGATAGGAGAATGGTGAATGCGGCATGCGGAGGGGGCATTGTTAACAAAACCCCTTCTCAAGCAAGAAATCTCCTCTCGGAGTTGGCGGAGAACTCTAGGTATTACAACGGAAGATCCTCCACCCGTAAAGTTGCTGCGGCGGAATCATCTTCATCTTTGGAGAGTCAAGTTGCCGGCTTGACTTCTTTAGTTAAGGATTTTCTCTTAAATCCTAGAACCCAAGAGGTCAAGGTCTGTAACTATGAAATCAGCTCCAAATGCATTCATTTTCGCCCTCCTCTTAATGCTGATATATGAAGACATTGTCAAAACTTTGGTCAGGATGTTCTGACTCGAACGAGCAATCTGCCCATATGAGTGATTTATGATAAGTACTTGAGTGGTTTATAGTCTAATGCCTCCATCTAGAATCAACCCATTTGATTCACTTGGTGATGCAGAATCTGCCCATTCCATATCTCATACTACATTACATGAGTTACATTACAGCATATGCACCATTTCTTCCATGAGTTTATCTAGCTTCTTTTTAGCTCCTATTATCATATTATTTCTATAATATGGTAAAAGAAGCTAAAAAGAAGGCACTTCAGCAGGTATTAATGTTAAAATGATTTTCATCACAGAGTTTTGGCTAGAGGTTTCAGCAGCAATTGAAACACACACTGACACACTTTTGGAGCTTGCTACTTTCTAAGAGCTCCATTGCGTAACAGCAATCTCTCCACCTTTGGAGCAACTCTCTGCCTCGTTCAAGACCATATCATAAGGATTCCTAATGTTATTGATGTAGTGATCCAGGCTATAGTTTCATTTGAGAGTCAATTTTCTCAAGGCTCTGGAATAGGATATTTCAGATTAACAAATTTTCATAAATAAGTTGAGTACTAAAAAAACACATTTCATAGATTTTTCACATAGCATAAAAGGTATTTTACCAACTTTTCATATATCAGTGCCAATTACTTTCTCAAAAATACATATCAAACAAAACAATATACACTTGTTACATTCCATCAGTACTTTGGTAAAACTAACATTAGAGTTGTCCTACTCCATCAGTACACAACCCACAACTAAACTACTAATACAACAAATGTATTACATATTTTTCCCATTAAAGCAGTCAAAAATTCAATGGCATCAACTCTCGTGTGCACTAGACAGACGTGCTTTCAAACCGCACCTACAATGCACTGATTGGTTGTAGTTCTGGGTTTTCCTCCCCAATCTTGACGTTGATGAAGTAGACATTGATAAAACATAAAAGAACTTTTGTTTTGGACTACTCCTTGGGTTAAAACTTATACTAAACATATATTAAACGTAAAACTTAAACATATATTGAACTACTTGAGTTAAAACTTATTTTAAACATAAAAGTATATGGGGTCTTAATGAATGATATATTAAATCCCTTTAATTTAATATATAACTCAAGCAATAGTCCAAACATAAAAGTACCAATGGCAGAAGAGTGACAGAGGAGTGTTTGACTGTGTTGTTGTATTTTGCAGTATCAACACAATAGAATAATACTATTGGAATTGGAGTTTGGAAAGCTAGAATAGTACTACCGGCACTAGCCTCATATATGTTATTAAATTGATAGACAGTTATGAATTTTACCAAAACAATTTACCTTGGAAATATGGTTGTAGTAAGGCTCAACCGCTCAACCAATTTGTTTGTAAGAGATATTTATTAGAATTTCATTTCATAATCATATACTACGTATTAAAATGCACCAAAGGGATACAACACAAAGATAAAGCAACAACAAAAAAGGGAGACCTGCCCATACAAATTTGAATCAATATAAACACTCAAAAAAAGAAAAAGTGACCAGGATACTCCTCATACAACCATAGAAATATCTATGTACAGAAAGGTCTTTAATTTATCTAAGATCGTCAGGGTTTTCTAAAGTCCATAAAAGTACCAATATCTCTCTATATTAAATAGTTTCTTTGGCATA